GTGGCTGGTTATGAGAGATAGTATCAATACTAAGGCTAAAATGCAGAAATGGGGGTTCTCAGGTGACCTGAAGTGTTGTCTTTGTGATGCAGGGGTGGAGGACATGGACCATATTTTTGTACATTGCCTTGTTTCAAGGCAGATTTATATTTCTCTCCTTGGAAGGGTGCTTTACATCCATAACCTGCAGAGCTGGGATGATGAGGTTAATTCGATTGTTTCGAAACGTAGTGCTGCAACAGAAGCTGCTGAAACGGGGAGTTATCTGGCAGAGTTGAGTTAGTCACGTCTGGCGGGAAAGATGCAGACGTATGTATGCCGGTAAAGCAAATCCTCTCCCTACGCTTCTAAAGATGATTAAATCTGAAGTTGAATGTTTCCTGGGTAGTCAGAGGCTTGGTCAGTTTTGGGTGGGGTGATTGGTTTTCTGTCTCAGACGCTGTATTAGTAGATACTCATTGTAGTTATTGTCTTCTGCCATTTTGTTAAACTTACCTAGCTAACAGGGTAGTTGTTAGCGCCACATTTTTGATGAAATGAAACCCATCGATTCATAAAAAAAAATGTTGTAGCTTTTAAAGTTTACATATTACTTGGTTACTTTTCCTCTGTTTTTAGTTCTAAATTGTTTCAATAATTGGAATATGTTTAATTATTGGCTAAATTACACGTTTGGTCACTCAAATTATATAAATCTTTCACGTTTCCACCCAAATTACTTTTCTTTCTTATCCGCCACTAACTTTACGAATCGTTTCACAATTAGTCACCGGTCGTTAGTCTCCGTCAAACTCCGTTAACTCCGTCAATTTTTTGATGACGTGGAAAACGAAAATGCCGACTGGACTATTAACTTAATGACATATAATTAAAAATAAAAAAATTAATACCCAAACTCATCCCCTGATCTCTCTCGTTCTCTCCTCTCTGAAGGAAAAACAAAAGGAGACATACGGCGGCAAAGCAAAACTGTCGATGCTCCTCTTCTTTTCTCTCACTCTCTTCTTCCCTTCTGACTATTCTTCTTTCTTTCTTTTTTGATAATGACGAGGAGGAACGAAAAGACGAAAGACCACCTCGAATGTAAGGTAGAACATCGACGGCGGCGGCAAAAGGAAGGCGGCGACCGACCGAGGTAAAATCATTTGAATGTCGATTTTTAGGGATTTTGCTTTAATTTCAGTTGGGAGTGTAAGGGTTTTAATTTATATCGTTTGTGTTGGGGGTAACACTAAAGGGACCCAAAGAAGGGCCCAAGAAAGAGCACATTCAGTTAAAGGCAGCCCTAGGCAATTATCCAGGAGAAGAAGCCCGCAAATGGGCCCGCGAAGCCCACTCTCTACCATGCAGATTAGGTATGAAGACAAAGCACTAAAGGCCAAAGAAGTCCAGGCTTGCAAGTGGTCCCCCGCCTGCAGGCGCCCACCAGTCGTCAGAAGCCTGACAAGGTGGTTGAGGCTTCTGACAGGAATGCAGGTACAAAGCATTAAATGCACAATGACGTGAAGGAAATCCACCTCGAGCTAGTTGAGTATAAATAGAGGCAGTTGATAGCATTTATACAGGTTGGAATGTCTCACTAAAACTCATTCTGAAGGCACTTCTCTCTCTAAGAAGAAACTGGCTTGATCGTTGGAGGGCTAACGGGCCCAGGCGCCCCCCTCTGTGCTCGTGTGTGTAGGCAGGCGCCCAGGAGCCCCCCTCCTCCGCTACCATCATATCTTGAATCACAAACTCGGCCATCTCTGATACATCCCAAACCTGGTTCGGATGATCTTGGTCGAGCTTCTTCTTCAAGATGCTCAGGCTTGTTAGGCAGGCGTTGGCGAACAAGTTCTTGCCGGCCTCCGACTCCTCGAATGTTTCAAGGGAAGTCTTCTGACCTGCAATCTCCTTGCGGGCCGCTTTCAGCGCCTTATTCTGCTCCCTTTGGCTATCCCGCAACCTACCCTTCTCCTCCTTGAGAAGGTCTTTCTCACTAGCTTGGGCGCCCGCCTCCTTCGATGGTCGTCGTTGACCTCCGAGGGCACCTGCCACATCTTTGCGGCAGACATAGCTAGCCCCATGGCGCATGCCCTATCCACGGCAGACAGCGGGGAACACGACAGGGCGATGCGCCCCAACTCGGCGCGGAGCGGCTGCAAAATGGGCGGGCGCCCATCAGGGCCTACGAATCGCCTTTCATCATCCAGGTGAACTTGGGCGCCTTCTTGTGCGCCCGGGCTGGGAGCCGCAGCCTTCCCTTTGCCCTTCTCACCTTCCCGGGACTTCTTACCATCGCGGGGCAATGGGGATCCCACCCTCTTCTCACGGCGAACGAGGGGAGGCGCCTCTTCCTCCGAATCCTCCTCATGGGCAGAAGGATCGAAGGTAGGCTCATAGGCGTCCGGTTCAGGGGCCGAGGACGCCACACTGCAGTCTTGGTTCGTGTGGGCGCCTTCGATGGGGCCGCCTTTGGCTGAGCTTTCTTCCCGGCCTTGCCTTTTATAAGGGCAGAAGGTGCGGGCGCCGGAGGTTGAACAGCAGCAGCAGTGCTAGGCGCCCCACCCGCCATCATCGCCAGCCTACTTTTTATCAACTTCCCGATGGAAGTGAAGTCCGACCCTGCACACAAACACAAGGATTAGCACATGTAAACCAGGGGAAACACAAGTAACTGCTAAAGAGCTCCCACACACCATCGTTAAAATACTCCTGCAACACTCTAATCCGATTCGCAGTGATGTGAAGGTTAACGGTATGGGTACTAATAAGTTGGGCGCCTCTGGTCTCCTCTGACAAGAGATGGACTTGAGAATTAAAGGCCTCAGTCTGGCCCAGCGCCCAATGCCTCATAAAGGCGCCCCCACTCTCGAAGAAAGAGTCTTGATAGGCCTTCATGAAGAAAAACTCATTGAACCAGCTACGCCCCAACTTCGGGCACCTAACACGAAGTGGTAGGGAAGCTTGGAACGCTTCTGCAACAAGAGGCAGTTATCCAATGGCACCACATTGAAGAACCACCTGAACAGGTTGAAGGTGGGCCTCACGTTGTGCTCCCGGCACCTGAGCTTGAAAAACACCACCACTACCATGACGGAAGGCGACAGGCGCCCCAATGGGCACTCACACATCGTCAAAATTCCCTCTAAGATTGGATCTATTGGGAAGCGCAGCCCAAACCTGAAGTATTCCTGGTAGATGCCGATCCACCTGGGCCCACACACCGACCCTAGAAATGGGTGAGGGGGGCGCGTACCACCAATCTCGCGGAAGTTTGAGGCTGGTCACCAGTTCGTGCACTCGTGCCAGCGTCACGGTCGATTGACGATCTGGCCCAGCCACGTCGAATGGCAACCCTGCGGTCTCAGTGGGCAGATGATCCAGGTGAAATGCCTTCTCCCAAGTAGTGATCTTATATGAACCATCAACAGGAATGAAGCCCAGGGTGGAGGCGCTTGCTGTTCTGGCAGACTCAGGCGCCCTCTCTAAACCAAAAACCGAACCAGGCGTACAATCCCGAATCGGAGTAAGAGTCTTACCGACGCCTAAGTATATGGTAAAACCAAAGAAAAAGAAAAAGAGAGAGCCCAGGGAAAGACATTGAGAAGACCTAGATGGCGCTCACTAGAGTGGGAAGGGCGGTTGGATGCAACGCCCACACCAGAGTTGGAGGGGCGAATGGAGGAGGCGCCTGCGCTAGCGTCGGCAGCGCTATTGGGGACGAGGCGTCAAGGCTCAAACAGTTTGTTTTGATTTTCTAGGTTTTCGATTTTGGAACAGAGGAAAGGGGAGAAACAACAAAAGAAAAAAGGACGAGGCGATTTTGCTTTTGGGGGTAATATTTTTTTTTGGACTTCTGATTTTGACTTTTGCCCCTTTTTGGTTCTTGGTGGAGAGGAGAAACGAGGAGAGGAAGTATGAAAAGGAGCTAGGTCGGCAGTTCTGAGCTTTTTCGGCGGTAATGACAACAAGGATGGGGTCAAGTACAAACCAACGCCCCTTCCTCCAGGTGGATGCGTGGTGGAATTTCCTGAGGACTTGGCGGCGTCAGCGAGGGCTCTCCACTCAATCCGGGAGAAATGTTTCGGACAAAGTCCGCGTTGAGATCGACTTCTTTGTGGATTAGTTTCTCGACCTCGGCGGAAGTAGCTCGCGAGTTGTAATCGAGAGGATGAGGATGGGGTTTCTAATGATTTATTTTTATTTTTTAATATTTTCTAATTGACATGTCATTAAGTTAACGGTCCAATCATTAGTCCCGTTTGCCACAACATCAAAAAACTGACAGAGTTAATGGAGACTAACGACAGGTGACTAACGGTGAAACGATTCGTAAAGTTAGTGGCGAATAAGAAAGAAATATAATTCTGGTGGTAAACGTGAAAAATTTATGTAATTTGGGTGACCAAACGTGTAATTTAGCCTTTAATTATTTATAATAGTGTTTCAGTTATCTTTCTTTGGTCTTGATGTATTGATGATCGATTAAATTTATTTTAACTATTTTTAGTGGTGCTTCTAATTGTATTAGGGGTTTAAATAGATCTTCTAATATTAATTTTGAATATTTATTATTCCTTTTTTATATTCGTTTATTATTTTTACTAATTTATCTATTTTATTAAAAACAGTTCATTAGTCATTCTAGTAATACTATGTTTAGAAGGTTTTTAATTTTTTATAGGGTAATGTCTATTTTTTATCCAAACCTTTTTTAGATTCTTTTATATCATCCAAACCTATTAAAATTCTATTAATTATCCAAATCTTTCATAATTCATCCAAATATTAACCATTTTTATGTTATCGTTAATAATTTTGCAACTCTTTTCTTAATTAAAATATTAAATTTTTTTGTAATCTTGACCATCATGTGTTTCTTCCAAGTCATTATCATTTTGCCAAGTCAATATTACTAACAAAATTGCTAACTGGAAGTTAACATTTGGCTAATTCTTAGTATTTCGATACGTTTGGATAATATAAAAGAATTTGAAAAAAATTTGGATAAAAAATAGACATTACCCTTTTTTATATTATATAATACTTGTTGAAATATAGTTTTGGATGTTTTAAAAAATTTTGGGTACCAAAAGATAATTAAAATTTTGGATTGGATGAAAAATTAGACAAATGCACATTTTGACGACTTTAATAGTACCCGACGCCCTATTCAAAGTTAAATTGTGTGTCTAACACAATTATCAAATTAAGTGTTATTAGAGGTATTCTACCCTCAATTAGCCATACCATATGTATGGATAAAATTGCCATGTGTATTTTTTGGAATCCGCGACCCGGGTTAATTTGGTCTGTGCAATTACAAATCAGTCCATAACTAATTCGCTATTGACGTCGGCTTTGTGACCATCCTCTTCCAACAATGGCGTCTCTTTGAACATCCAAAATCTACGAATAAAATAAACCCAGAAACCAGACAAAACAAACCTGCTTTTTGGGGGTTGACTCCTAATTCCATAATCCTTCCGTCCTTCCTCTCTCTTCTCGTTTCTCTCTTATTTCTTTTCGTTAGGGAATTGGCCAATTGGGGCCGATTGCCCTGTGGCGAAGAATATTTAATCAGGAAACATGGCGGATAATTCGATAGATGCCGAAAGGACGATGGATGGTGGTGTCACTGAGACGAGAAATGACATCCCAACTTCCACTTCTTCTGGGTATCGATTGTTCGGTCGGCAGGTCCCTCTTCACCAATTCATGGGCGGTGGAAAAGGTAAAACACTGGAAACGTAAACCTGAAAAGGCCTTTTTGCTGAACTTCGTAGCTAGTTCGGTGTAATCCAGAAAAATTGTCAGAATGAAATATATCTTCTTATTGGAGCCGAAAGCTGGTTCGTCTTCAAGTCATGATTTTTCTATAACGAGATGGTCGTACTGTTTCTTTTCTGCTTCTGCCTAAGGGGAATGGGATAACGTGGGGCGAGTGGAATAGCACATATAGTTCCTCCAGTTGTTGTTATGCAAGAAACTTTCATACTTTTCTGTGTTAAAAGAGTTTAGCGAACCCGTAAAAAAAGCTTCAATTCAAGGGGAAAACTGTAGTTTGTGGTTGCAGTTATGCCGGCGAGGAGTGAGCGTATGTTTATGATAGTCTGATGGAAGGGAAATACTGTAGTTTGTGGCCTGCAGTAATGCAGGCAAGTATTTGGATTATATTTATGATAGTCTGATCTGATGTTCTTAACTATTGAGATTTAATCTCCTGTGCTTGTAAGTTGTAACTGTCAACTGTGTGAAATCTTTCATTTTCATTTCGTTCAGTCCCATAGTTAATTGGGCCCTCATGGCTCTCTTGATGCTGTTTGGGATGTTTGTTTGACATGATAAGAGGATAGTATGGAGTCCTTGCATTGTCCCTTGATGCATCTGCTCGTCTTTCATACACTTTTGCTCGACTGAAGAACACAATCAGGGACAATATTTCAATACTTGACAACGCACAAGTTTCTTTTTCCATGTATGCCGTTGATGTATAAATGATATGTCATATACCAAAAAGTTGAACATCATTTATGCTATACATTCCTTGCATGTCAAAGGAAGTTCGCTGTGTAGCTTTCCACATCAAACATGCACGCTCTCTTTGTCTATTCACTATTGCTAGTGTTATTTTATAACGCTTCTCTCATTTTATGTAGCTGCTGATGTACTCTTGTGGAAGCGGCGACGCATTTCCTTTGCTGTTGTTGTTGTGGTGACATTGGGGTGGTTCTTATTTGAACGCTCTGGATTACCATTCTTAACAGTTAGCTCAGATGTCCTGTTGATTCTGATAGTTATGTTGTTTGCCCATTCCAACTATGCTGCTATGAGAAACAAGTAAAAACCTGTATACCCTACCTTTGCTTGTTGTAAGCTTGTTCTTCCACTAGGATTTTGATTGTGAAAACCAATTTGTCCATGATAACCGTTCTATGGTTTCTAATTTGAGCAGACAACTGCAGTCATTACCAGAACTAGTCGTGTCAGAGGAAATGGTGAACAGTGTTGCAGCATCTTTTCGGGTTAAAATCAACAACTTGCTTCTCATGGCTCATGAAATCACCCTTGGCAAAGATTTTAGACTCTTCTTCAAGGTCGTTATTGCATCAATTTAAAAACAATATCCAAGATTTTTTTTTTTTTTTTTTTTTGCATATGTGAAGCTGATTTCAGAAGTCAGGTCTAACTTCTTCATCTTCTCGTCTACTCATGCAGGTGGTTGTCTCTTTGTGGCTCTTATCTGCAATTGGTAGCTACTTCTCTTTCTTCACTTTAGCCTATATAGGTGAGTTTTCATCGTGATTTTCTGATCCAACTAAGCATTTCTACAGCAAACTGCTGCAAAATACTATCTTTACCAAATGCGAAACTTCAGATTTGATGAGTAACACATTGTCTGCTGAATGGTGTTGCTCACAGGAACAGTGTTATCAATTACGGTTCCAGCATTGTATGGTAAGAATGAAGATCGAGTGGATAGATATTTCGGGATGATCCACAAGAGGTTTAAGATAGTGGATGAGAGTGTTATAAGTAGAATTCCTCAGGGATTATCGTCCAAGGACAAAGATACCTGACTGGTACGCTACGTACATACATATGTTGGAGAATGCTTGTTGTCTTCTGGTTATAAGACGGTGAAGGGCCTTGCGCTGATTTCGGAGCAATTGCTTTTGTACAAATGAACCAAATTGAACTAACTTGTTCCCGGTTCCCCATTCCAGTACTTCTGTTTTTGGTATATGAGAATTGGAAGTTTGATCGAGCAAGTTGAAAAATTTATTATAAAATGTATTTTTCCTTTACCGAATGCGTTGTTGTATGCCTGTGTTTTGACTTTTGAGAGTTGGACGCCTTCAGTCGGCCTTAGCCTCTTATTGAGAGCTATCGTACTGTTTGTAAGAATTCACGTTTCAATAGTTCAACTAACTATTACTTATGGCTTAGGATAGGGTGAGTAACCCTTTGTTACTCACCCGTGAGTAACCACCTAGGAACCGTTGATCTGGGGCGGACGGATCGTGTGGCTGTCATTGAAGCGGGATGGTCAGGGACATTTTTGTCCGTTATTTGAATTAATGAGTTTCCCCTTTTGTCCGTTGCGAATCTTTCTGTGCGCGAGTTGGATTCGGATTTTGGAGAGTCTCAACTACGAGCAGGGGAGCAGCAGCTGAGAAACAAGGACGACGATTCTCCATGGTTGATCGACGGCGATAGAAACTGCGAGCAGCAGCTTCGAATCGAGCTTTCTGATTCTCGGTCTCCATAATTGATCGACGTGTGCGCGAGTTGGATTCGGATTTTGGAGAGAGAAATTGCGAGCAGGGGAGCAGCAGCTGAGAAACAAGGACGGCGATTCTCCATGGTTGATCGACGACGATAGAAACTGCGAACAGCAGCTTCGAATCGAGCTTTCTGATTCTCCATAATCGATCGACGTGTGCGCGAGTTGGATTCGGTTTTTGTAGAGAGAAACTGCGAGCAGCTGCTGCGAAACAGGGGACGGCGAATCTTTTGTGATTCTCCATAATTGATCGACGACGAGGTTAGATATTAGTTTTTTTGATTCTTCCTGTTTAGCTAATCGAGTTTTCTGTTGATCTCTGGTTTCGTTGGAGGTTTTTCATTGCTGCTAGTCGAGCTTGTTTATGTTTAGCTAATCGAGCTTGTTCATGTGTTATGTTCTTTGTGTTTTGGTGTTTTTGTAGTATTCTGGTGAGATGAGTTACGTAAATTGTGGCGATGTTGTTCCAATTGATAGATCTGGTTCTTCAACCAGCGTTGTAGGATCTGGTTCTTCATCTAGTGCTGTTGGAATTGCTTCTTCATCTATCGATCTTGGATTTAATCATTCAGCTAACTCTGGTGAATCAAGAGGTAAGATATACAAATTTGTTTGTTTATTGAAGTTTGTATAGTGTCGTAATTTGATTTTACCATGCCTTATCATGTGGTAATTGATTTTACAGTACATTACCATGTGGTAAAATGTGGTAATTAGGAAGTTAAATGTGATGGTTCTGTGTGATAATTGATTTTACCATGCCATACCATATGGTATAGTGTGGTAATTTGATTTTACCATGCCTTATCATGTGGTAATTGATTTTACAGTACATTACCATGTGGTAAAATGTGGTAATTAGGAAGTTAAATGTGAGGATCCTGTGTGATAATTGATTTTACCATGCCATACCATATGGATAGTGTGGTAATTTGATTTTACCATGCCTTATCATGTGGTAATTGATTTTACAGTACATTACCATGTGGTAAAATGTGGTAATTAGGAAGTTAAATGTGAGGGTTCTGTGTGATAATTGATTTTACCATGCCATAGCATATGGTATAGTGTGGTAATTTGATTTTACCATGCCATACCATATGGTATAGTGTGGTAATTTGATTTTACCATGCCATACCATGGTGGTAACTCTTGTATCATGGCTGTAATTATTGGTATACATTGAGATTTCATACTGTTGTGGTGTGGAATCCATTTAATATGTTGTTTCATAATGTTTGTAGGTTTCAATGGTATAGATCCTACTGTTCGTGATTCTTGGAAGGACTTAGAGTTCAATACACCAGATGATGCATATAATTTTTATGTTGATTATGGGAATCATGAAGGTTTTGGTGTGAGGATTTATAACCAATCAGCGTGTCCGAAGCTCAATGGTGGTTCTTCAGCTGTATATTATATCAAGTATTGTTGCAATAAGGAAGGTTGGAAAAGAGGTAGCGAGAATAACCCTGATAATGCAGGTGTTGTTGATACGACAGTTCGTGTTCGTAATGTTCCAGAACTCAGGGGTGGATGTAATGGTGCTTATATACGACTGAGGTGGTTTAAAGAGTTTAAATGCTACAAGATCTATCGTTGGTGTAATGTGCACAACCATGACATGATTCCTGAGTCTCTGCGTCACTATGTGAGATCCAGCAGACGAATGGCTCCTGTGTATAAGATGTTGGCAGAGGTGAATGATGCTGCTGGTATTGGTGTGACTTCTTCGTATAATACAATTAGTAGGGCTGGTGGTGGTCGGAAGTTTGTTGGGTTCACAAAGAATGATATGAAGAATCATCTGCGAACGGTTAGGACGTTATCAATGGAGTATGGTGATGCGACTGCATTGCTTGAATACTTTAGACGTCAAGCACAGCTGGATCCTGGGTTCTTTCATGAGGTGGAGGTTGATGTTGAAGAGAACATTGCTAGTATTTTTTGGGCAGATGGGAAGATGAGGATGGATTATCATTATTTTGGTGATTCAATTAGTTTTGATACTACTTACCGGACTAACAAAGAGTATCGGCCACTAGGTATGTTTTCTAGTTTGTTGTTTATTATTGTCTTTGTTAGTTTGTATGATTATTATTATTATCATTATGTATCATGTTTTTTTTTTGTTCTTACAAGTCTGTACCATATGGTATGGGTTGGTATGGATTGCTTTTTTGTTCTTAAAAGTATTTTACCATATGGTATGTGTTGGTAACAAGGTTATTTGAGGTGGTTTTTGGGTTGTTAGAAGTTTGTACTATATGGTATGGGCTGGTATGCATTGTGTTTTTGTTCTTAAAAGTCTTTTACCATATGGTATGGGTTGGTAACAAGGTTATTTTGTTCTTAAAAGTCTTTTACCATATGGTATGGGTTGGTAACAAGGTTTTTTTTGTTCTTAGAAGTCTTTACCACATGGTATGAGTCTTTAGCATATGGTATGGGTTGGTATTATTGTTATTCGTACCTTTTACCACATGGTATGTGTTGGTAGAATTGTTTTTACTCACATTTTTGTTATGTTTTTGTAGCTTTGTTTGTTGGTTTCAACAATCATCACCAACTGACTGTCTTTGCGGCTGCTCTTCTATATGATGAAACAACGGCAACATTTGAATGGCTTTTCGATCAGTTTTTGAAATGCATGGGAGGTGTGAGACCGTTATCAATGTTTACTGACCAGGCTGCTGCAATTGCTGCTGGTATAAGGTCTGTTTTCCCAGATTGTTTTCATGGGTTGTGTACATGGCATATTGCTCAGAATGCAGTTGTTAATCTGGGAAGTTTGTGTGACTCTGACTTCCTTCGTGAGCTTAGTTATTTGATGTATAATGCTGATGATGAGGATGATTTTGAGTATAATTGGAAGAAGATGATTGAGAAGTGTTTTCCTGGGAAGGGACCTTTGGGACACAGTTGGTTACAGGGCATTTACAAAGTCAGGACGAAGTGGTCTTCAGCCTGGGTGAATTTTCATTTTGGTGCGGGAATGAAGAGTACCCAGCTAAGTGAGTGCTGCAATAGTAATATTCGACATTACTTGCAGTCAGAGTTTAGCGTTAGTAGGTTCTTTGTGCACTTTGAGAGGATGCTTGATAATAAGAGGGATGCTGAAGAACAAGAAGAGTACTACGCCTTATCTAGGTTGGCTGATTCTCGGTTTTCTACTAGCCCTATTGTGAAGCAAGTTGCCAATGTGTATACGCCGAAGATATTCAAGTTTTTCCTGGATCAGTACAAGGAATCTCTTGCGTATAATATTTTTTCCAATACGGAGATAGAACCAGAAGGTGTAGGACTGTTTGATGTCTTCATATTGGAGGATGACCTTACAAGGTTGGATAGTAGGGTGTTGAAGGTTGATTTTGAAACCGGTGAAATCAAGTGTTCGTGCCGTAAGTGGGAGTCAAGTGGTATGATCTGTAAGCATCAAATTAAGGGATATGATATGTTGTGGTCTACAACATGCAATCTGAAGTTCCAGCACATTCCTAGCAGTTTGATTTTGAAGCGGTGGACAAGGGCAGCGAAAACTGGAGGGAACTTTTCTTTTGAAGTTCCGTCTACTGATAGTCCATCGAAATACCGTTCTCGTCTTTTCAATCTGTCAGCTGTTTCTGCATCAATGATCAGCAGGGTTGCATTGGATGATGATTTGTATAAATCAGCCATGGCCTTCATGACTGATTTGATCAAAAAGTGTGAAGCCCTATCGATTACGGAACCTGCTGGAACAAGCACGTCTTCTAACGGTGACAGTAAGTTTTTAATTGTTTAGAGTTTTGTGTTTTGATATATGCATTTTTTTGAGGAGAATGATTTTACATATATCTGTCATTGATTGTAGTTTGTTTTTGTTATCTTGGTATAGATGATGTACCGGTCCAAAAAGTGAAGGGGTTTAAGCCTAAAAAAGATTCATTCAAGCCTTCGAAACGACAAATTCCAGTTGCGGAGGCTGCAAGGGCTGTAAGTAAGAAGAAGAGAAAAACTAGCAGGCTTGAGGAGGAGAATTTGAAGGCTGTTGAAGAAAGTTTAAGGCTGAAGCTGTAATAGTTTTCTTAAGAGGATTATTTGAATGAATGGTTGGTTGAGTTGTTGAAGCTATTTTGTTCTTTTGGATTGGTTTTTGGTTTGTTGGATTAATTTTACAATGTCATACCATGTGGTATAATGTGTTAATTTGATTTTATCATGTCAAACCAGGTGGTAAAATGTGCTATTTTGGAAGTTGAATGTGAAAGTTCTGTTTTATAATTGATTTTACCATGCTATACCATGTGGTATAGTGTGGTAGTTTGGAAGTTCTGTGTGATAATTGAGTTTACATTTGCCATACCACATGGTAAAATATGATATTTTGGAAGTGGCATGTGTGGTAATTGATTTTACAGTGAATTACCATGTGATAAAATGTGGTAATTTGGAAGTTAAATGTGAGGGTTCTGTGTGATAATTGATTTTACCATGCCATACCATATGGTATAGTGTGGTAATTTGATTTTACCATGCC